CCCCCTTCTCACTGCTCTGTATAACAACATGCCCCCCTTTCACTGCTCTGTATAACAGTATGGACCCCCTTCTCAGTGCTTTGTATAACAGCATGCACCCCTCCCTGCTCTGTTTAACAGCATGCACCCCCTTTCACTGCTCTGTATAACAGCATGCACTCCCTCCCTGCTCTGTATAACAGCATGCACCTCCCTCCTGCTCTCTGTATACAGCATGCACCCTCACTGCTCTGTAGAAGACAGCCAGCCAGCCCCCTCCCTGCCCAGTATAACACAAAGCCAGCCCTCTCCCTGCCCAGTATAACACAGCCAGCCAGCCCTCTCCCTGCCTAGTATAACATTGTGCCAGCCAGCCAGCCCCTCTCTCCCTGCCTAGTATAACACACAGCTAGCTAGCCAGCTCCCCTCTCCCTGCCCAGTATAATACAGCCAGCCAGCCAGCCTCTCCCTGCCTAGTATAATACAGCTAGCCAGCCCTCTCCCTGCCTAGTATAATACAGCGCCAGGCAGCTCTCTCCTGCCTAGTATAATACAGCGCCAGCGCCTCTCCCCTGCCCAGTATAACACAGCCAGCCCTCTCCCTGCCTAGTATAACACAGCTGTTGTGCCCCTCTCCCTGCCTAGTATAACACAGCCAGCCAGCCCCTCTCCCTGCCCAGTATAACACAGCTAGCCCTCTCCCTGCCCAGTATAATACAGCCAGCCAGGCAGCTCTCTCCCTGCCCAGTATAATGAATATTGCAGCCAGCCAGGGCAGCCTCTCCTGCTGCCCAGTATAACACAGCCAGCCCCTCTCCCTGCCCAGTATAACACAGCCAGCCAGCCCTCTCCCTTCTCGCCCAGTATAACACAGCTGCCCTCTCCCTGCCCAGTATAACACAGCCAGCCAGCCCCTCCCTGCCCAGTAGTGCCACAGCTGCCACAGCCCCTCTCCCTGCCCAGTATAACACAGCCAGCCAGCCCCTCTCCCTGCCCAGTATAACACAGCCAGCCCCTCTCCCTTGCCCATAGTATAACACAGCCAGCCAGCCCCTCTCCCTGCCCAGTATAACACAGCCAGCCCTCTCCCTGCCCAGTATAACACAGCCAGCCAGCCCCTCTCCCTGCCCAGTATAACACAGCCAGCCAGCCCCTCTCCCTGCCCAGTATAACACAGCCAGCCAGCCCCTCTCCCTGCCCAGTATAACACAGCCAGCCAGCCCCTCTCCCTGCCCAGTATAACACAGCCAGCCCCTCTCCCTGCCCAGTATTCTATTAGTGACACACCTCCCAGCTCCTGGCCACGCCCCCATGTGACATTGGCAGGGTCTGACTCCGCCTCCATGTGACACTGCCAGCCCGTGGCCCCGCCCCCGTGCTCTCTCTGGGCCCTCCCATTGGCTGGCTGTGTTATTTTTTGAATATAAAGCTTTGCAGCTGCTGGCAGAGCTCAGAGAGCGCTCAGTGTGCGGCCGGGGGACATGGGAGAGAGCTAGCTGGACTGTCACCACCATCCTCATCATCCTCAGCCACACCATCACCTCCACCATCACACAGCTCTATGTAGGAACCCTGCCCCCTCCACTGCTATTAGCCTGCTTCTCCCCCCATAGCCCCCCATCATATAGCCCCCCCTATCATATAGCCCCCCCAGCCTATAGCCCCCCTATCATATAGCCCCCCATAGTATATCCTCTCTATAGCCCCCCCTTACTGTTAGCCCCCCTTTACTGTAACCCCTATTGCTGATTTTGCTTGAAAGCTTTTTATTATTTTTCTCCTCTTTATTATTATATTTTTTTGCACAGAGTTTACCTTATTTTTTATTTTTTTTGCACATTTTTTCCCTTCCATTTCTTGCCCGGATTTTGCACATTTTTGCCCCTGGTTATATTATTATCACTTCCCTGGATTATTATTATTATTATTTCCCTGGATTATTATTTTTATTAATAATTAATATAATGGAGCTGGAGCACATGTTGAATGATTTCACCCACAAGCTCTCCCAGCCCAGCCTGGCTTGCCCCCTCCTGGGCCCTCAACATGGGGTCCTGTCCCCTGTTACCAGCCTGGCATTCAACATGACCCAACTCACCGGCCTGGGCAGGTAAAGATACAGCTATCTATCTATATACTGTGTATTTATAACTATTACTGGGATATTGCACATTGCAATGTCTGATTTACAGCCTGATACTGCATGTCTCCATTAACTGTGACTTGTATACATGTATTAGATTGCAATCTTTTCGGGACAGGTCCTGTGGCTGGTTATTATTGTGTGTTTCCTGGGTTATGCTTTGTACTGTGTTAGTCCTGGTTGCTGCTGCATAGCTGTCACATACTGTGGTTTTTACATTTATATGTGTTAATATATTTGGATGTAATTCCTAGTTGAGACTTATGTCCATCCTGTGCCACGTTCTGTATTTGATATTCTGCTCCATGCTTCCCTCCCTGATCTCTATATACTATGTATTCTCTTTAGGTTGGAGTGTAGGATTAGGGATATAGACATTAATGTTATTAACTGTGTAATATGGAGCTTTGCTTTGTCACTATGTAGCTGCTAATCATGTAATAAGATGGACTGCCTGCATGTTCACTGGAGGCAGCCATGTTGTTCTTCTACACTAGAGAATGTGGTTCACCAAAAGTTGGCTAGATACAGTATTACAGGTGAATTGTTGTCTGAACAGGAGACTTACTGGTTATAAAGTTGTCTTCCTTTAAAAAATATTTTTCAAAATGTCAGCTCCCACTTACAAGTATTTTGTGTGTTTTGAGTTTAAATACATTCCAGAAATAATTGCATAAACAATAAATAAGTACAAGTTCATTTGTGATTATTGTAAATAGCCAGTATGTAGAAGAGTGTTTATTTTTTTTTACTTGTCTGCCATGCTGAGCTAAATTCTGCAGTTGAATAGTCACTATAACATTTCTACTGTCTTTGCATCAATTTGCAATCAAGATACACAAATTATAAGACAGACACCCCTCAGGCCTCAAACTGAGCCCCGCTGTCTAAATTTACATGGAGCACCTTATATTGTCCCCAGATACTGGAAATGTGCAAATGTTTGTAATTAGTGTGTAAATTGATTATTCAAACAGGCCTTTTTCAAAGTCTCTAAAATCCAAGTTTATTCAAATGCTTATCAGTGCATTTAATTAGCTGTCTGTAACAATCTCCAAATATCTCCACAAACTGGGCTCTGTGATAGGGACTGTAATTACCTGAAAACCAAATCTTTTATTATGTAGAAATCTTGGCATAGCAAAAATATTTGCCCTTTAGCAACTGCAGACTGCAACTCTCATCAAGCTCGGGCCAAAACTCAGTGCTAGCATCTCCTTGTCTTGTATTATATTGGCAAACATTTCTTTATATATATATATATACACACCATTCTATTCTGCTATCTCCTCATCTTTAGCTAGCCATGCATTGACTACTCATTCAATGCATTACAGATACAATGGCTCTTCACATCAATTGCATGTTAAATGCTATTTTCCCACCAAAGAATCCAGGTTATCCTTTCCCTTAATCTGTTGCCTGAGGGCCCTTTATTTCCTGAAAACAGTGATAGTAGATCAGTGGCAAAGCTGGGAAGGGTTATTCAAAGGGATCACTTATAATTCTGACACCTCCTTCATTGTCTGTCCTGTTACATGACCTAATGATCAGTACATGTCAGGGTTCAGCTAGGTCTGCCCTACTTGGAACAGTTACACATTTATCTAAAATGTCATTTTTACTCAGCGTCTCCTGTTGGTTTATTTTAGTCACTCAATCAGGCATTGTGGAGAACTGAAAAAATGATTCAGGCCAAAATAACTCAAATTTCTCCCAGTTGACTATTTTTGTTTAAAATTACACTTCTTATGTTTGTCCTCTCCCCCCCAAAAAAAACTGTTTAGTGGATACCCACTCTCCCAGGGGTGCCAAAAAGGTAGATCCCCAGATGGTGTAGAACTACAAGTCCCACGATGCTTTGCGTGCCTTTAGAATGAGAAAGCATAATGACAGCTGTAGTTTTAAAACATTTAGGGATCTAACTTTTGGGCACCCTTGCTCTAGCTTGCTATTTATACTAAATATCTTGTTTATATTCTTACAGAGCTATGCACTAAAGTGAGTATTCAACGTGACTTTCAAATGTAAGGTCAAAGTAGTCAATATGGAAAAGTTGGCTATATTATTTTCAGTTTGGCTACTCTGGCCTTACATTTGAAATTCAGTACTGTGTATTCTCACGTTAGTGAAAAACCCAGTGAGTGTTTTTAGGCTTGCAGTATGCCATGCTAACTATGCTCTGTTAAGCTATTTAGCCGTAAGATGGTTTTAGAAATAAGCAAGTAATATTTGTTTTGTTTTATTTCCAGCCTCAGTGATACCCCTAAAAGGAAATTGGGATTGTCCTTCCCAACCCCATTATCTTCACTGTCCCGAACATCTTCCTCCGAATCAGCTGACTCTGGTACGTGTCTTGAGGCAAAACCGAAATATACAAATATCATGTATCTGTAGAACACATTGTGCTGCTAGTCTCCAATAATGTTATTAGTAACACTCTGTACATTTTACAGGCTACCACAATGGGCTCGTTTTACAATACTGCTTTCTTTTACATTCGTACTGTGGAATGCTTTTAAACTGTTAAACCAGAATATTTATCGATATAATAACGAGAGAAATTGTGTTAAATGAAGCAAAGTGAATTAAGAGAACTGTGAAGTGTTGGGAATTAACTTGTCTCAGTTTCCAAGTTGTAATTTTTTCCAACAATTCTCAGTTTAGCCACGAAGATCAATAAGATTTAACTGGCATGTTATAGTGTTTATCAGAGTATTGGACTCGTGTCTATCTGCTGCAGAGCTGGTCTCATCCTGTAACGTCACAGTGATAAGGAAAGGACCACTGATGTGCTAAAGAATTTGACCCTGACATTTCCACATCCTAGTAAATAAAACACTCCCTTCTTATGTCCTCAGGTCTCGACCTGGATTCTCCAAGCTCGCTGGACCCAGGTGTCACTAACGAAACGTAAGTTCACGCCTTCGGTTTCTTCACTTACCTGCAGGAAAGCGGACATGTACCCACGTGTGTCTGAAATGTACATGATCAATATTTGAGTTAGCCCTACTTGTTCCTTGTTTAAAGGAGACGTGTTTCTCTGCTTTGTTTGCCAAAAGAGCTGAAAACATTGCTCTGTCTGCTCCTCATCAGTCTGTTTGCAGCAGGGATCATTAACACTTAATTTTGTCAAATAAAGAGTTAAGGTATCTGTTTGAATTTAGAGACATAGTGGCTCTGCAAAGCTCAGAGATTAAGGTTTTTAAATCTGCTGAAATCGCCAAACAGTTTACCCATTCTTCTTTAGATCATATATTAGTTTGGTCTTTGCCATCCCTAACTGGTTAAAAAAATTTTTTTTACCGAGAACATTATTTATTTACCATTTATATGGACAATGTATTAATAAAAAGATCGGGCTCTTATCACAAACATAACTAGGTGGTATTCCGTGTTTTGATAGTGTGCAATATATTGTCTTTAATTTTATTGTGTGTTTCATATAATGGTCACTTTCTAAATAGGAATCTGCTGTAATATTTGGAGTTTGTAGCTCCCGTACAGGTACAAGTAAGATTTCAATAGCAGCTGTTACAATTACCTTTTAGTTATGGAAGAGAGTTCCCTTTTTATCAGATAATCACAATTGGACAATTTGTCCAGTTTGGCAATTTTACAAACAATCTTGAAACACTTAAATGTGTTGTGTAGTGAATAAACCACTGTGATCCTCATTCATTAGACAGTGAGTAGTGACAAGTTAAAAACCACACTGTAAAATTTGAGTGAAAACAGACAAGACTGAGAAATTCTTCACTTTAGCTATTCTTGTATAAATTTCGCAATTTGTTTCTCACCTGATTAGAGATAACTGATTAGCGATTTAATCTCTTTATTTGGAGCGCAGACTCCATTGTGATTCTAATCGATATTAGTTGGTTTTTTTAGTGACGTGGTGGGGTGCTCACATTTTCATGCAGCTGTCCCCCGGTGGAATGTGTGTTAACAGCTGCTGTGAGAGACAGATGCCATGCGGCACCACCGAGGTGGCCATTTAAATGATATCCCTTAACAACTGCGGGGCATATGGATGATACCCCAGTTCACATCGGCCTGTCCAAATAGATCTTTTGTCTTGTCTTAGGCTCACCTTACAGTGTGCAGGCTCACAACCTGCAGATACCCAACCCCCCCAAATAATGTGATTCCTCGATTGTTAGTTCACAAAATGCACACTCAGGTTACTGAGATCTGAAACCGCAGAGCCCCTGAATGGAGTGGGCGTTAATATCCTTTCGGTTTCACTATTCATAACACAGGCCTGGCCTTTGTTACGCCTGCCCTGAGCATTGCGGAATGTGATTAATGCATTCCTACCAACATAGAAGGCAAAGTACATCAATGTGTCTTAACCCATTAAAAACCTGATTGTTTTTTCCTGTAAGTGATAACCCTCCTGGCTTGGTTGAGGTTTTTTTTTTTTTTTTTAATCTGCCCAGCGTGACAGCTTTAGGGTAAGATATTTTAAGATTGTGAGAAACTTGTGATAAAAAACATAATGCACGTCTTGGCTTCCGACTTGGGGTGTGCGTTGTTTGAATTCTTAGCACAGGAAGTTTGTGATAGGGTCTGATGTTTAATTAACGGTTGGGAAATAGGGACGCCAAATTGGAGACTTGTTTCAGCTCTGCCTCCTGGGATCTTCACAGAAAGTTCTTGTAGGATTTGGTCCCTGTGACCTTGAAAGGACGCAGAGTATTGTTGCAGCTAAGATGCTGTTTTTTTTGGAAGTTGTTGGTGCAGCAAATAAAACTAGTTGCACATTGTTGCCTTCTGTCTTAAAGAGCCAGATCTACTGGTAAAAGGATGTGAGCCACATGCAATTTAGCAGCAGATAGAGAGCTGGATACACAGGCAGATACCTGCAGAAATAACCTTTTGTGTTTCACACAAGGGCAATCCTTGTAATCGTGCCTTGTTGGCTCCGGACAGATGGCAGGTTGGGTATACCTGGATAGAGGTGGCAGGTGCAGAGTGTAAGCTGTGTTTGCTCTAATCTCCAATAAGTAACTGGTCATATAGTTCTTTCTTTTTAATTTGGGAGTGGGTCTTTAGACAGGACAGCTTTGTAATATTCACCAGGCCTTATCTCTCAGCACGCTGCATTTTCTATTTTGTGTCTAAAGAGCAATCTCACAAATGGGTTTTCAGAGATCTCGTGCGCATTTATTTAGCGCCTGTCCCTTTAATCCTTCGGGTCAGTTCTCATTTCATGCTAACCGGTCACATAGGCCACGGTTTGACAGGTGGCGTTGGTTGGGGGATAAAGTTGTGAAGACCCCGGACATGGAGCATCAAACATCTGCCCAGATTCCTTCACCTTTCACCCCTCCGTGTAACCACAAATCCTTCACTCAATTTTAAGGCCATTTGACAACATCCATTATTTTTAATTGGTTTGTATTGTAATGCTTTAAGTGCTGGTAGTGCGAGCCAGGCAGGGTAGCATTGGGGGTTTATCTTCCAGAATTGCTTTGTTTCATTTTAACGCTGTTTTTGTGTTACATTGAGATGTCCCAAAATGAGCTCAGTTTCTTGAACAAAACAAGTAGGGGTTTATTTACTTAATCTTGAATTGACCACTGAATTGTAAAATTTACAATAGAATAGTTAAATTAACCTCGTTTAGTGACATTTTACTGTACCTTGAATCCAAAAACCTTATTTCTCCATAATTGGTCCAGCAGAATTTTTTTTTACATTACTTTCCTTTTTTTAATACTTTATTTCATTGTAATACGAGTGGTTAGTTTGTGTTTAATGAGTTCATCTATATTCCCCAAAATACAATAATTGTCAAAATAACCGCAGGGGTTATAGGTCTTCTATATAAATGGGAAGGGGGAGGGGGGCGTCTGTCTATATTCAAGGGGAGGATGTGGAGTTTTACATTTTTTCCAAGACACAAAGCATGTCTAAAGAAATAATCTTTCTTTTCTTACAAAAAGCTCAAGTTAATTGGGGCTCTGTGTGCTTTCCATCTGCCATTCTGTGCTGTCCTGAATGGGACGGGGAGACCTTTCAACACGTGCTCGGTGGGCAGACATGCTGCCTGGTGCCTGAATAGGCTGAATGGATGCTTTGAAATGCCACACTTGTCCCTTCCTGATCCTCCAGGCAGACAGCTGTTGGGGGCCCAGCCGTGCCTGCATTGGCCATATGGCCCAGGCGAACAAAGGCTGCAATTTGCATACAGGTGGAGGGGACTGCTTTGCTATAGGAGCTGTGATAAAGCTCTTTACAGCCACCCTAGCTATTTATCCAGGTTGGAGCTAATGGCTTTGTTGTAGGATTGTCTTGGCAAATGTTTAATCTTTGAGGGTTTTTTTTGTTTGGTTTTTTTTTTATTTGCCTAATTATTTAAAGATAAATTAGATCACCGGGTCATTACACTTAACAGCTACCTGCATGCTGCCTCTTTTAAACAGTACATATCTGGGATTTGTGAAAAAAAAATACAGTTTTTATTGATTTATTTAATTAGAGCTTTGCTCGCCTGCTAATTTTAATGAAGGCAATTATTTAAAAGGGAAAAAAAAAATTGAATGCAAAGTGTTACAGTTACCATACTGGAGATCTAATCATTCATTTAGAGAAATCTTCATCGATGTGATTTTTGCAATGTCTACGTTTTTAGTGTTTTAATGCATGCGTATATACACGCTGTATGTACATTTTCCTTTTATTTATCTTTGAATTTGGATGGCTCGTGTATGGATGTTTGTGTTGATTATTTATAGAACAATAGATTGTTGTCATTGCTCAGAGACCTCCTTCCTTTACTTTGTGCTTAATTTAAAGAACACGCAGGATGGCTTCTTACATTTTCTTCACTTCCTTCCTTGCAGATTTGAGAAAGCTATTTTAGAAACGTCCGTCCTAGACAATGAGTAAGTATTTCATTACATTTAAACTATATCCTTTTGGCACGTGTCCATTACCAGAGATTCGTTTTTAATTTAGAAATTTATTTGTTTGTTTTCTTCAGAGAAATACCAGCTACAGTAAACCAACCTGTGCATTTATTAGTCGTCAACCCAGATTAACTATTAACTAAACTTTCTCCACGTGAATGATATACAAACATTATTATTATTATTATTATTAATAATAGATATCCCAATATGCTGCCAATACCTGCTAAAGACTGAAGATTTAATTGTATGAAGTGGATTTCTGATGATTAATCCACCTTATGTTAACATGTTGTGAGACTTACAAATGACCAATCATGGGTTTTTTTTTTGTTTTGTTTTTAGATTTAACTTGAAGTTGCCAATCAGGAGACTATATTCATTGCCGGTAAGTTGATTTATTACATAATTACGATTTATGGGTATCAGGGTAAAAAAACAGATTGTATCCGTTATGACTGATGAGATGCTTTGGTCGGTGTGAAGTGACATTAGGAAGTCACTGTGGGCATCTAGCATTGCTTACAAAATGTTAGCTATGCACATTCACCCAATACCTCTATGTTTGGTTAGCAGGTATCAATCCAAGGTGGCAGCCCAGCTTTAAGAAAACTTTCTCTTCCAAGTGACCTGGATTCCCCGAGACCTCTTGAAAGAAGCCCGGCAACGAGAGACAACAAAGAAAATGTAAGATTTGATCATGTTTCTTGTGCTGAACTTAGAGGGAATACAGATAATCTGTCCAGTGATGGAGATTGTATGATGGCTTTAAGGTCACCTTGACCTCTCATGATCCCTCTAGCCATTTCGGAATGCCAGATTAGTTTTTTAGATCATAATGAAATGTTAGTATGGGAGCACTGCATTTCTATTTCTAAATATCAGGAAGCACACTAGACACGTCTTTAAAAAGCAAAATGCTACTTCAGTATATTTGATCATTTTTAAATTTAAAACTGAATTTTTTTTGTTTCTTTAAATTTTATAGGAAGTATTTTCTTTCAAGAGGCCGTGGTTGCTTCCCTTCCCTCAGTGCAGACTGCGAAATACTGATGAAAAAGAAGTGTTCTCGGAACGGCCTAACTCTTCCTCGGCTTTCGTGGTAAGTGTCAAAACCCTTTTTGCAAACCAAGCTTTCTGGTACCCTGATATTTGGAGTGTATAGCATGAGAAAAATATCACAAGATTACAGAATATGATCTGCTCACTGTGCACAGATATCGAGTATTGAGAGAAGTTTCACTCGGACGTTGTGTTAATGCTTCTGCTGACACTTAGCCTTGTTGATTACAATGGAATCCAGTTATTAAAGAATATGACATATTGATTGTCCCTCTAAATGCCGGTTTTAGGTCTGACCTGAGTTTATTCCTTTTGTCTCTAGCTGTTCTCTAACACAAGAAATGTCTCTCAACTGGAGGAAGAAGAAAGCCCCGTCCGATTGCGCAAATCCTCCCTCACATTTTCCATATGTAATGACGATGAAGATGATGGCTTTATGGAGATTATGGATGATGAAGATGCAAAGGTACACACATAGTGCTTTAATTACTAATGCAGCAAAGTGTGAGCAGACGGCCGGTGTAATGAAGTGTATTTTATTTTTCGTCTTTAGAGATATGGTGTATTAAGCCTTTGTTTATTAAACTTTCATTCATGACACAGCGCTTTAAGATGTTGCAATGTTGTTAAACCATTAAAAGACATTGTATAGATATTGTAGTTTATAAAGACCCTGCACTTCCATAGATCACACCAGCCACTCTGTGTCAATATTTAGGACCTTTGTGTCTGTGTAGCTTGCTCTAATTTAAGTTTTTTGTTTTCTTTTCAGGATGAATCAGACATTCCCCCTGGGATGGAAAACCTGCTGACGGCCCCTTTCGTAAACAAAGAGAGCGATTCTGTAAGTGTTCCTAAAACCTGCACCTACCTTCTAAGGCTGATCTAGATGTTCTGACTGTCAAACTCTGCTCTTATATAAATAGTATGTATCACTGATCCTCTCTTTGTTCCTTGCTCTCACAGGATTTGGTAATAAGAAGCAAACGCCGGCGTCTGTTCCGGTCCCCTTCCATGCCCATGAGTGTAATTAGGCCCATATTAAAACGTCTGGACCGGCCGCAGGATGAAGACACCCAAGTGAAATCTAAGAGGCATAAGAACATGGCCGCCAGCTTCCCAGAAGAAGAACATAAACATGAGGAACCGGTATGTATAACTCAGAAAAGAACAATTTTTGTTCATTAACCTATTATTCCTTTGTTGATGAGTTTGTTGTTTATTGTTAGGTGCAATCCCATCTCTGGCCCTTTCATAAAATATTTCACATAATGTAAGATTAATAAAACACTAATAATTTGGGCTATTTAGATTATAATAATATAGGAATACCTTTACATAATGAAATGGTTCTGGCTGTACCAGGAATGGTCATTATACATGCCGCCATTTTTGCTGAGTGTATTGATAGAAGATTTGATGGTTTAATGCTTTGTGAGAATGAATGTCTCGTTCCTGTTGCTTGGGCCTCTAAAGGATGAAATGACTGATGCCGGACTCTAAGAATTGATCTGTAGCTCTGTATCTCATTTTACAGCATTGCTAATGTACTTGTTTGGTTTCTTTCTTTCAGAAAATGAAGATCGGAAGATCGAAGTCATTGTGTCTTAGTATGGTTGAGGAAGTGATGGATGACGATGAGAGAGAGTTGATTGGTGATTCCTCTAAGGTGAGAGAACATGATAATAACTGTGAACATTTACACTTCGTCTTAGTAAGTGCTTCGGAATTGTGTATATATAAAAAAAAAAATTCTAAACTGAAAAACCACCAAAATAAAGAATATACAAAAAATAAATAAAAAAAATTCTATTCTATGGCAACGTTCTAAACGTTGAGCAATCTGCAGGAATATTCCATTGGGTTCCATGGTGACTGCATCACTCTTAGAATTTTTCCCCACACGCTTGCTTTTATGTAAAACCCATTGTTATTCAAAGAAACCATTGTATTAAAAAACTCCACTTTTTCTCAGTCAACATGGTTAAATGTTTTTGTTTTGTTTTTTATAGCTTTTTATTTACTCAATATGTGTTTTATTTTGTAGACATATTTATTAAAGACGGTGGAAGGCAAGCACCAAGATTTGAAATACATAACTGGAGAAATGGTAAGTGACGTCACTAAACAGAAGTACAGGAGTTTTGGGGATGAATTCATGGCTCTGCCTCCCAGCAGAGTTGGTAGACGGATCAAAATAATGAATAACCACCTTATTTCCTCCTGTTAGATGGATGCTGTGTTGAGGGGAAGATATAAAGATGTGATTGAACGTTGTGTAATCATAGACTGCAGATACCCGTACGAATACGAAGGAGGACATATCAAGGTGAGAGGCACAAATCTAATAGAAAAAAACCCTATACTATCACTATATATAGACGGAAGGACTTTGACACACTAATCAAATAGCCCTGTTCATCTGCAGATAACGAAACTGCAGCAATGCGATAATCAGTTACTTTGTGTGATCATAGTTTATGGGACAATGGTTTCCCAGTAATTAATATTTAAATATGTCTATTTTCTCTCAGGGTGCAGTGAACCTACCTCTGGAGCAAGATATTGACGATTTCCTACTGAAGAAACCAATTCTACCAACAAGTGAAGACAAAAGAGTAATCATAATCTTTCACTGTGAATTCTCCTCCGAACGAGGACCCAGGATGTAAGTAGCTTTTACATAAACTCTGATTGCTTTAACACCTATACGAAGGTTAAACAATAATAAGTGCAGGCTGAGACGCCTACACGTTGGAGTGTGATTAGCAGAGATTCTGTGATCACAAAATCCAGTTGTAGTCCGGAATGTGCATGTTATCGTATAGATAACCCCTTCAGTTTACTTAAAGTTATTCAGCTATTACAAATTCAAACTTATTAACCTCTTTTTTTCCATTGGCGACAGGTGCCGATTTGTCAGAAAGCAAGACCGAAACAGCAATGAATATCCAAACCTACACTATCCAGAGCTTTATGTCCTTAAGGGAGGGTACAAGGATTTCTTCCCTGAATTTCAGGTTAGTAGAGAATTTAATGGTTCTTACAAGGCACATACCAAAGACATTACCCAAATTTCTTGACATGACAAAACATCCACTTGAGACCAGAAATGCAGAAGCACTATTTCCAGAACTACGGAATGCAATAAATCTTTTATTCTATTGGTGTAAAAATGTATCTCTCTAGGAGGAGGAGGAGTCTATTTTATTTCTGTTTACTGAGCATCAGCAGCATTTCACCACCTCTACTGGTGTAAATGGATATGTAATATTGTATAGAGCCCTCAGAGACCAGTGCAGACTGTACAATGGGATGTATCAGCAGTCAGTATGTAGATCTTACTGCAAGCATATCACATCAGACCTTCTAAATCTTTCTTATATATGGTCGATGACCCATTCAGTAATGGCCAAACAGATTCAGTGATTCATTTTTAAATTGTAATGTAACACAACCAAGATAAATAGAACAAAACACCTTCAGTGAATGAAACACGATGTACACAATATTCAATAATGTTTTCCTCGTTTTCTTTTAACAGAGCCATTGCGAGCCTCAGGCTTACAGACCAATGCACCACGAGGACTTCAGGGAGCATCTGAAACTTTTCCGTTCCAAGAGCCGAACGTGGATTGGAGACAAAAGCAAAAGAGAAATGTACAACCGACTGAAACACTTGTAGACGATCGAGATCTTTAAAAAAATAAAAATAAATAAATTTTAAACAAAAAAGGGCAGGTCCCTACAACCACAGTTTTATGAAATAGCCAGATTGGATTATGTTTCACTCATGGTCTATCTATGGATCTACAAGGTTTCGTTCTTCGACTTGTTGCACAACGGAGATGATGGTCTTGGTTTATCTCCAGCCGCCCAGCACGGAGCTCGTCCTTTCTCTCTGGAATGTTTGTTTATTGGCTGAAGAAACATTGTTTGTTCGGAGACTGTATTTTCTGTCTCTTGTTAACAGATACAGTTTGCCAGCAAAGAAAAAAGGGTTATTTCCACAAAGAAAGGATTTCTTACACCAGCATTAACCCCTATGTAGACTTCACTGGACAATCACGCAGAGGATTAATTATGCTGCCAATCATAATCCTACTTACAGTGGATCGCCGACATTCACTGCCACACAGCGTCAGACATATCTTTTAATATCCTAACAATGGACCAGTTCCGGTTAGGAAGAGACCCTTGAAGCTTCCCACGCTCTGCCATTAACCAGTTGTTGGATATTTTTAATGTCTTTGCTGCCGAGGAATGGCGTTCCATTTCTTTTATAATTTGTGTGTCTGTGTTTGTGTGTGGAATGAGTGTTTGTGTATGACTTGTTGCACTTGCACTTTTATTAACCTCTCAATCACTGAAGAGGTTTTCCAGGCAATGCATGGCCCTCTGTTTATTAAGAGGCCAATCAGCTTCCCGCATTTATTACGGAGTTTGCCATGGGTCTGTATGTGCAGCGTTTGTGTAATGTATGTGTATTTGTATATAGCGTAAAGATGTGTCCCCAGCTGCTTAATGATGTGTATTAGCCAGGAGGGAGTTGATGTCTGTTAATATTGGTGATTAAATGGGAATTTTGAATATATCAGCGTGCTTTACTTGTTTCCAGAACAATGGCAAAAAAAAATATTAAAAATTACTTAACGCTCCAAAATAATGACATTATTTATGGCATATGCACATAGTTTACAAATCAGCTTTGCGCTGCTCAACTGGGAATCATTTTGTTAAACAAAATAGAAATAATGATTTATTCATTTGCTGTACAAAAAAAAATAATAATAATAATTCAGAACATTTAAAGAGTGCCCTATTAATAGCGTAACATAACAGGTAGACAGCCCGGAGTGATAGAACATGGGCCAGGGACTGGACCACTTATTTCATAATAGAAGCTACATTTCCTGACTTCCCAGCCCGTTGTTTAATCTGCTGTTGATTCAAACATTTCAAACCAACTTACTGAGTTTTTTTAGTTTTTTAATCAATGGGCGATTAATTCAATATAACTAATAATGTGTATGGCAAAGTTTCACAATCGCTAGACTGTATTCTTTGCACAGAAGCCTTAGTTTCCCAAACATTGTTGCTATTTATTCAGACACGTCGTTAATTATATCCTGCAACTCTAACGTTTGTCCCCACCCTGAATTTGCACATTTTACAGCCAGGGCTAAACTTGGGACAAATACAGAGGATTTAAGTGTAAATAATACTTAGGGAAGGTGACCAGTCCCTTTGTAAACTACCCCTTGGCAGATACAGGCAGGCATACAATAAGTAATGTTGCAGATGCATTCTGTGCTTTGTAAATATATATTGCCAAGTCTGTCTGCCGATCAACAAATTAAACAAACGAGTGAAAACCGGAAATAAAGGCCTTATTTACTGCACCCAGAACAGTAAACCTGTCCATTTATTTTTCCTCTATTCTTAATTATTGGATTGGTGAAACAAACTGTGAATAACCAGACACATGTTTTTATTTGAGCAAAGGATCTTGGTGTTTAAAAATACGATTAACCTTACCAACGCATTTCACCCTCAACTACAACATCAGTTTCTTGAATGTGAATCTGTTAGAAATATGTGCAACTCAGGAATATTTAAAGATGTGAAATGGTGCAACAAATAAATCCTTTTAAGGTTTCATTTTGAAACATTGGCTATTACTGAAACTAAAACATCATACCATTAATCTGCAGTACAGTACCTGCCACTCCAAATTAGTACGTCTTAAACAAGGAGCTCCTAGGAGCTAAATAAGTGGATATTCCCATAGTGTTCAAAACACTTTCTAAAAAATTAGAAACTAGAAATAAATTGGTAGAAATGAAGGTCCCAGAGGTTTTTTGATAATCTATATTCTAGCTCATTGAGTACCACAGATGCGTGCATTGCTAGTTCAAATGAATTGGGCAAGGACGTAAATGACAGGTAACCAAATATGAGATATTATGGATTTATTCTATGATTATTCTATGGTTATTTCGTTCGCCATATCCAAGTGGACACAACAGAAGGAGCTTGGTTCCAAAACCTTGGTTCCAATTGCCTTCTCTGTGTACTACTGGGATAGGTACAATGTTACAATGCAGCACCGGAAATCAACAAACCAGAGAACTCCGACGGTGCCCTTTATCCTGAATTTCCAAGGTTCGCTAAGAAAGCACTTTCATTTGTTTTGCCATTTTCTAAAAACAAGTAACCAGATTCCTCTATTGCCCTGCTATTTAATATCTTATTATGCCCCTATAATATATATTCAGCTATTGTCTTTTAAATCTGACTTATTAATATTCTTATTGTGTCTTTAAAAGCATCATCTAGTTCATTTTTTTTTTTTTTTTTAAGTATGTGCGGTTTCTTTTGGCATGTTTTTTATAAATGTAATGTTTTTCTGCCCATGTAACATTCGGAAAATCAGAACCTGAAATTGAAAAGGGATGATTTATAGATAGTGGCATTTTACAGCAAATATATAATTTTTTTTTTAACCGTTAAATGACTTCAATCTCTAAATATTTCTTTTATTTATAAAGTACCCAGAAAAGATTCCCACTATAATGCCGCCGTACAAAATGTATTTATTTTTATGCACATTTTATATAAAATGTATTTCTTTAAACGATATAGGAGAGATGAATGCCATTTCTCCAAACCGCAATAATACTTTTTGTGTTGAGTTTGGCCCCAACGTAATATTATCATTATAATGTATGCTGTGTTTAATGGTGTGTTTTTCTACGTGCTATGAGTGACTGACATGTCAAGCTTCTCCTTACCACATTATTGTGCGCACATTTAAATATTTGAATTTCAGGGAAAAATAAAATCCTTGTCTTAATATTTGAGTTCTGATTTTTTTTTTTGGGGGTGGGGAGGTGAAAGTGGAGAGGGATAAAATCCTAAAATACATGATTTTTGTGGAAAAAGAGTATCTGCTCAATAAACCCTGAACTTTAATGGTTTGAACGCTTAATTGCCGAATTTAGAAACTAGTGCTGGTCTTGCAAACATTGATCAGCTTAGTGCCTGCAATTTTAGCCAGAATTTTCATTCGCGTTTTTAATTTACTATGATACAGTGTTTACTGAAAAAAACAGATTGTATTCCTTACTGTATAAATACAGGCTATTCTTTATATGCTGATCGATTACCTGATATCTCTGGCATGTGAAACTATCATCTTATCTCAGGCTGCCAGATAAATCGACATGCTTCTCTTACATTCGTTGAAGCTGCAATGCTTTTATCCGAAACGGAGTTTCCCACGTGTTTATTTTTGCAAAATAAAAATAAATGTCATCCTTATCGTTTGCACATTAAAATATCCATAATATGTAAAACAGTAAAGGTCTTAATGCAATTATTTAGAAAAAATGTAAAAAAGGATTACGTTTGCTATTTTTGTTTTTATTTTTTTATTAAATTGTGTTTAGTTGTGGCTTTTGGTACCCTTAATTATTTCAATCTTATGTAAGGATACCAAATTAAGGAGCTATCTAGAAAACAGCCAAAAGGTAAAATTTAAGGAGGAAAAAGCCCTTTTCTTAATTGTGCTGCTTCAGTTAATTAATAAATAAATCCCTGCAGTTCTAACTAATTAAAACTAATTAATCCGAAACAGTTTGGATCTATTTGTTACAAATTCTTTCCTTTTCTGTTCTTTTCCTTTTCTAAATTTGAAAGCATCTGAATTATAAATTTTGGTTTTAAAACAAATCTGATGAAATTCCATTTGGAACTAAACACCTATTGTGAACCCAGTGAGGGGATATATGTTGATAAGGTATGTTGAGTTTGAGGACCTTTGACCACAGGGATACAAATTGGGGGTTATACACTTAGGATCAAAGATGTTTGCCATGCCCTAGCATATGAGGAGCTCCTGGATTGGAAACACATGGTCCTTTCATATCTAATATTGGGGACCTCTCATTACCTCCCCTCAGCAATGTGATAGTAGGGGAAGGAGCTAATCGCGCACCTCCTGTATTATAGTGCCTACCAACTTTTATACGGAAGATGGAGTGTCTATGTCTGACATGGACATCATGCAACCCCCCTAGTTATTTTATTTTTAAAAAGGGGACAAACACAAGCCCGGCAGACCTCCAACATGCATATTTTGGGAATTTGTGGGATGGTGTGGTGGGATCATTATTGGCTCAGACTGTCTGCTGCTAATAATTAGATCATTCTAAACAAATTCCGCTGACAATTCCACGAAAGTTCATGTTTTGGAGTTTTCAGTTAGATAGGTATTCCCTGCTTGATCACAGGTGACCTTCAGATCATGTTTGGAAAAAATGTGTGGCTCACGGCCACTTTATTTTAATCTGTCCTGTTTGAAGCTCTAATTTAATGGGATTAAATGCTGGACAAACAAAGCTCATGATAAGTCTAATATTATACAGTGAAACCCTGTGTTACCTACACCTATTAGACTGCTTAGCTGTCAGTCCCCAGCAGCAAGAATGCCTGGAATGTTTTACTCTTAGTAAATATGTGAAGTAGATATGTGGCCAGCAGTGATTGCTTCCTCTGAATGATCAGCATTGTGAAATAACCAGCACATTTGTCCTGGAGGCTTTCTATGACGTTTAAGGAGTTTTGACCATTAACCACTTGAGAACCACTGGGGTGTGGAACAAATTGCTTTGTAGAATGCAGATGAACCAGCCCAGCTCGGAATGGTCTCACATGTCCTTTCCACTACTGAAGGTCACTTTGATATCACATACGTGAGTGACAGCTCAGCATGACCAAACCACAATCACTTTAAAAAAAAAAAAGAAAAAGAAATTCCAATCAAAGCTCTGCAATTCTATCGTAACGGGAGGGGACAATTTATTTTCCATGTTTTTCATCTCATCCATTTCCTTAGCATTTTCCTGGCTTTGTATCTTTTGGTTGTTTTCATCTGTCAGCTGCCCTTTTACTATGTGTGTCCATTAAACCTGTTGCTGAGCATTGTGAAAATTGTTGGGAGTTTCGTCCCTGGTGAGTTAAACAATATGTTGACTTATATGACAATGTACCAGTATCAATTTAATTAGGTTTTTAGGGGTGAAGCTGGTCAATTCTTTATTTTAAGAAATAGCAGAGATTATGCATGTTTATGCAAAAACAATAGATTAACAAAAATAAAAAACATACTCCCATTATAAGTTCCTGCACGTGCTGTAAATAATCAGGCTCTGCAGCATCTGCAGTGAGGTCTATCCAGACCAAGGAGTGACTCAGCCAATCATGATGTTCCCCTAAATGTACGTGCTGAGCAGGTTATTATGAGAAGAGCAATGTCTCTCTATTGTGGAATATTTAAAGTAACCCTATAGACTGGTGTCATGTCCCCCTAGTTGTAACCCTGCAATGTAAATCATCACTGTTCTGCAGGAAATGCAATAATTCCAATGGGCAGTTTAAATGGTCGTCCGTCAGACAGCCTCAGGCATCACAGAGCTGTGTGCAGTGCTCATGGTATGCTCCTGGGGGCCACCAGGCAGGCTTTTGCGGGCCGGGCAACCCATTAAGGGCGTTATTAGTAATGCAGGCTGTGTGACAGGCGACGCTGCCTCGGAGCCATGCTCTTTCATTTCGATTATCCCCTCCTAATTGTTATGATTATTATGAATATGATATAATTTTAATATTCACACCACAAGAAACTAAACAAAGCTTCCTCGCATTATACTAGAAGACACATGCGGGGTCATTCACTAAAGTGAGAGTTCAAGGTGAATTAAAAGTAAATTTCCAATTTAAGGAACTGGAAAAATTCTCTATCTATTCAACTACTCTGGCCTTAAATTTAAAAATCACTTTCAGGTCCTGACAATTCTCACATTAGTGAATAACCCTGAAGCTCATTTCAAGGATACCGGCAGGCACACATGCAATGTAACATTCTGACAAAACAGGCAAACCATGAAGAATGGACAATGGAGCTGGTAAGGCCAAAATAATCAAACTTGAAATATTCTTAAATGAGCTATGTAGCAGACCGTGTGTGTGATACCCCGACTGGGTACCTCCGCCAAACACGCTTCCTTGCTATCGCTGGGACACCATAAGCACTTCAGCCCCTTAGCCATCGCAGCTTGACTGTGGTCTCACCGTCTCTTTCCACCCTGCACCAAAGTCCTGGATCCAGCTCCCAGTGGTTAAAGCTCTCCCACATAGACTATAGCTGTATAGTAGTAATTATAGCCAGTATGGCAAACCCCCCCCACCCCCCCGCACATTAGCCGAGACTTAATGCTGGGAAGTGATCTGTTTAATGCAGGCAAATTATCAGAATGTATACACACAGTAAGCTCCTCCCCTGTGCCTGAGAGATAATTGAGTCAGGAACTGTACAAACTCATTGAAACCCCTCCAGAGTCACATCCCAGGATAGCCCTGATATGAGTGACCATCATATCATAAGTTGGATTTTCCATGGAAGTCAACTTTTGACCGACCACACACGTGGCTTCTGCCCAAAATAGTTCCATAAGAAAAGTGGTAGCGGTCGGTTAATTTCGGGAGTCTAAAACCGATCAAAATACAGAACCGATCCTCTGGCTCCTAGGAAGCGATTGTTCGTCTAGTTCATGCAAACAATCCTACCAGGTGGCACTCTCCTGACATGAATAGCAATGAAGCAGGCATTCGTCAAAGTTCAGTGGTGTTCGCCAGTTAGAGTGAGTGTCCAATTTTAGTTCCATGCACTAGATGACTAAACACTGCTGCTTGCGTTTGTGCAAACAAGATGGATGCCAACTCAGTTCTCAGTTTGTGCATACGAACGGCGGCCACCCAGCCGAACACTTAGAATCCATAATGCAAAAATGATGATGGAGGTGTCAGGGGAGGTCAATAATGGTTAACAAGTCCAGAGGTAGTCTGCAGTTTGTGGGTTTGTTCGGTTACCGAACGATACAGGTAAACCATAGGAACCAAGTCTTTTATAGGTTAGTTAGTTGGCCAATAGTCCTTGGGCTGGAGGCTAGCCAGCAGGCTCCTCCAGGAGCTTGTGGCAGAAGCATCTTTGCCACAAGCTATTTATCCAGCTCCTTTAAGTTAGTCTCATACTTTGAATACTCTTTGACAATTCTCCACAAATTCCGCTTTCTGAATAAACCCCCTTGTTACAGAAGAAGCAAGGCAACAAACAGACTGAAATGGACAGAAATGTCACCAAACCACAGGCAAAGCAAGGGACGAGGAAACTTTAAGAAGGAAAAATACTTGAGGTAAAATCTGGGAAGCAAACTATTTGTTTGGCACCTGACTTCCTCTCCCTTATGGCATAGCCAACAATGGGAGGCGTTCACGAGGAACAGAAGGGGGAGGCGATAATAAATAGGGGATGTGCCTGCAAAGTTAGTGAGCCATCAAAAAATATGCACTGTCACCCCCACTCAGGGCAGCCCACACTCGGAGTGTTGTAGAAGCACTCTAAGCATAGGCTGGTTACTCTACGTGTAACAAGCACAGGGCTGGCCTTAGGGGTGTGTGAGCTGTGTGGCCAGAGTGCAGGGGAGCTAAGGCAGGTACTCGGGTGGAGGATTAATTATTCTTCACCCGAGTCTATTAAAAAAAATATATATCGAAGCAGGGGGGCGGGGCTAATACTTTCCCAAAGCCCCTGGTAACTGCTGCACAGGAAGAGGGAAGGAGTCCCTGCTTCCCCATCAACCAACTGCATCCACTGGAAAGTGTGTGTGTGTGTATCTGTGTGTGTATAACTGCCTCCCTGTGTGTGTGACTGTCTGACTGTGTGTGACTCTAATTGTGTGTGTCGCTGTAGCTGTGCCGTTGTGTGTGCCTGCCTTTAACTGAGTTTCTGTGTGTACATGCCTGTAACCGAGT